CCAACTACCCCCTACTTCATGTGAGACATACTGTGAAACATGCCTTCTGAGAAAAAAATGAACCACTCTAGTGGCACTTTGCAAAAAGGGCAGAAATATCACTCTAGCATAGAAATAAAAAGTCCATTCTTCTACAGCGTTCTTTTACCTCTGAACTTCGGTTCTTCTAGTGTCGTCCGTAACAGCCACAATTCTTCACTTGCTTTGCATTCAGTATGATGATTAATTATTATAATACGGCGCTCTCCTGTGGTCCAAAGAGCCGCAAGTTCGAAATTTGTCAACCCGATTTTGCAAAAAAAAAGCATCCCAAAGATAGAAATGCTATGTTTGATATTAGCATTGGTACTGCACACAGCCACTACTTTCACGCTAGGTCCTTTCATGTGTTTTTAAGCGTATTAGATTGAGCAAAATATCACTCACAACATACCTTTCTTTTCAGCGGTGCTCAGCAGCGAGTATTCACGAGCTCGTTTCCCCAACAAGTTGCGCTTCATAAGTTTTTGGGTTTGCAAACGTTATGCCAATGGTAAAAAGAAGCTAGCTGCATTTTTAATCCAAATACTCTTTATGAGTGCTTAATAAGGATACTAGAAAAGCCTTCACTTAACTTCGTCAATAGAGAAATATTTCAAAGACTCATAAATCTAACGGGTTAAGGTATACAATCAAAGTTCCAGAACAAGATCATCCTACAGAGGTTAGGTTGGCCACCATAACTCAGTATTAACGTGTAGCTTGAGCACTATTTCTTGCTCTTTGGTAAGATTGGAGAGGTCGAAACTAAGCTCGCTAAGAATTACAACGTCTTTTATCCTTGCAGTGTATTGTAGAAGCAGCACATTGTCATCCTGAAATTTATATTGGAATTACTTTCTCTCAATATGTTCAACCTCGATTTTTACCAAGCAGTGTGGATCACCATCCATTTGAGGTAAAATGAAAGACAAAACTTTTGTACATTCCATAATTTGACAATGGAGTCCCTCCAAAGACCATTTGACATCGCAGGTTAAGCGTATGCGATAATTATGGGTAGAAAAGGGCCTCAAAGGCATTGCCCACTCAAAATGGGGTCTGATTTCGGTGTCTAACGATCGCGAGACCCTCAACTGTATGACTGTCCAACTCGCACTGTCTGAAGTTGCTTCCAAAGCGAGAAAATCGCTTCAAAAATCGAAGACGGATTCGCTACGTTGGCTCCTCCCTAACATGAGGGCTGTGCGTTCGTCCCGCCCACTTAGTGATTTCGCGTAGCAGGAGCAAAGCTCAAGAAATCGATCATCATGCGAGAGCGCATCTTTGCCATGCGATGGGCCCCCAGCTGGCCCGCGGCTGAGCGGCAGGCGCAAGGAGTGCTCGTCTACTGCGGATTCTGGAAGAGATCCAGAACTCAACAATTTAAGATTTTAGGCATGGTTTCAGACTCAGCCGACGCAAGAGGTGCTAAGAAGAACAAAAATTCAAAATCGAGGAATTGGATAAACGGTGCTTTTAACTACCTCTACGATTTGGCATACTATTATGTCAAAAAAAAATCAGTACTTTCCAAGGCACTTCACTGTCTAAAAAGTCATTAGCGAACAACAGCAGAGCATGAGAATTTTTATAAAATTAAGTAATTTCAACTTATGCAGAAAGCTGCTAAGCTGCAAACTCTTCATCATGATTCTCCTCATATGCAGTGCCGGTAACTGATATCACTCAACTATGTCTTTTCACAATATTCCTCGTATATTCATTGAGTGGCTCAAGAATTTCTGGAAAAAATTAACCAATTGCAACAGACTAGAAAAGCCGATAAAGCGCTGTTCTTCTAATTTTACAACCCACAAGTTTCGCGTTTTACTGATTTATACGTTCTGAAAGCCTTCTAAGTTGAGCGTGAAAACTTGGTCTAGACGCTTTTGTGCATATTGCTTCATAAAATGCGGATCTAGGCACTTGAGTTTAATGTGATAGTATTTTGTAATTACGAGTTCTTTTGTAAATAGTGTTTACGATTATATCTATCAGGTAATTATACCTATACTCATATTTCATTCTTAATCTCTTTTAACTCAGGCAATTCGCAAAATACTTTCGGAAAGCAATGTAAATCTGGAACACTTCCGGAGGGGGCTCTTAACCATTGCAGCGGTGGGGCAAGGGCGGGTCATTCGCGGTGATGTCACAAAAGCCCAGAAGGAGACTTTTGCAGGATTCGCAAATCTGTGCTCCGGAGGTGCCCCAGATTTGCGAGACCACTGAGCAGCTCTAGGTGCGCAGCACCTCCGAGCTCATGGTACGCAGGATATTTGCTGACGCTGATACGCAGCTGGGTATTCGAAAATAAGCTTTTGTTCGTTTCAAATTCCTGGGATCGTTTTTCTTACGTTTTCCTTCGCGATCTCGTGGTGTTCATCCGTGTTTTTCGTTTTCGCTTCGCTTTCGAATCTTCTTTTAGGTAAAACGTACGGATGCACTTTCTAATCCATCTCCAACCATCATATCCTGTCCGTTTTTCCGTTGTCACACCGTCCACAAATGTGCAGTTAGAGAAGAAATCGATGAGATTCTTGCTAAAATAGCAGCTGAAAAGCAGCTCGAGGAAAGAGAAGGAAAAGGGTAGTCACTGTTTGTCTTTGGATCAAAAGTATCACGGAGCTGTCAAGGTACGTCAATTAAGAGGTTCGCGTGTTGCCTTTACTTTTATCGCTATGCATATTTTATTAGCTATTTTGGGTGTTAGTTTCTGGTAGTTCTAATTATCTGTGTTTGAGGATTGGTGAAGACCATGGATGAGTCATGCGAAAGTTCTTTAGATCTTGCAAACGCAGATGTGGGTTTGACTATCTCGTGTAAAAGTCCCATTTAACGGTTATTTTGTTTATTTGTTTTTTGCCTGAGATGAAAAAGTAATCGTTCAGTGAATTAGGCTCTTGATACTGTGGTGAATGTGCCGACAAGTACGGAATAATTCTGATAATCAAGCATTCAGACATGCTAACTCACCAGCTGTGACCGATGATTCTGTGCAAGATCGCGCCGTTCTGGACTTATCTTTGAGTGAACAGGATGTATGGATTTATTTAGCAAACAACGTTTCAAATTTTCATCATAGCATACCTTCAGGACATACCTTCGATAGTCAAGAGACAAGGGCTAGAAAGTGATAGTTGTTTGAGTTTTTGCCCCCTATAAAAAGTGAAGGTTGTTTCAGAAAAATAGACGAAAATTTAGAGATACAAATTAAACTAGAAAACTTAGAAAATTCATATAAAGCAGAGGCTAGCACATCACCAAATCTGAAACCTTAACTTGGTGGTTTCCTACGCAGAGTTTCGTCTCCAGGATTGCCGGTAAAACTGGGTGGAAACAACAACAAAGTTCTTTTCCAGTCAAAAAAAGCGCTGTTTAGCTGTGGCGTTAGTTGGGAGATAGAAAGAAGAAGAACTTGTCAACAACTGAATTGAACATGTTAAACATGTCTGTAAAGTTGTGTTGCACATCGACGCCAATCTGATTTTTGATGCGTCCTTTAAATTTTCACCCCCGCATAGTCGTTTCGTACACTGCGACGTTGTCTGGATTCTTCCGCTCATCATTCTGAGCAAGTATCGTCCAAGCTGGAAAAAATTCGCTGCAAAAGCACAGAAAGAGAACAAGGTAAAGAAAAACGCACTTTTTTGTATTTTTCACAAAAAAAACCGGCATAAGCAAAGAAGTAAGCTCGGCGACGTTGTCTACATCATAGACAGAAACAAGACCTATCGAATGCACCAAAAAACCGAGTGAAAAAAGTTAAACTGAAGAAAAAACAAGAGGTTTTCGAAAACGCCGTTTTTCGAGGATTTCTCGTTTAAATCCTAAAAAGAAGTTCCGCGACGTTGTCAGCGTGAAAATAGAGATCAAGAGCTTTAATATGATATATAGATTATCGAAATTGGGCTTTGAACAACGAAGAAAAGGGTACCAGAGCCAAATGCCCCGCGCCCCGCATTTGAGGTAGCGAGGTAGCGCGCAGCACGCGGAGACGCAGGCGAGCAGCGGAGACAGACCAGAGCCGACGGGGCATTTGGCTCTGGTCGTGGATCTTCGCAGGATCTCAACGAAACCCTGCAAAATTATATATCGTTGTGATCCTCATGAGACGGCCAGGAGCACTGACAACGTCGCGGGTCTTGAAAATCACTCCATAACGAGATAGACAGCATTCATATGGCGACTCTTTGCGCAAGATTTGAGCGCAGTTTTTCGTTTTTATTGAACTTTAGCGGCTTTAATGAACTTCCAACATTCAACCGCAGTTCAGAGAAAGGTTAACTGAGAAATTTTGCCCTAGTTTTTGATAAAATTTTCAAACAAAAACCTTCTTCTCAACAAAAAAGGCCATAAAAACGCAATCCTTCGGTTTTTTTGAGCTTCTCTTGAATGTCGCTGCTATATTTGCCTCATTTAAATTCATCCCTATACTTTTATGTCATTAGTTATGTCATAATTTCCGGGGCTTCGCCCCGGATGACTTCTGTACTTCTCCCCAGGTGAAGGTTGTGTTCTATCATGACGCTCAAAGTGAAGGTTACCAGAGTACATGGCTCTATGTATCGAAGGTATGCTTCAGGAGCCTGTGCAAGCAGCTTTCGGAGAGCGCCGGATCCGGAACTTTTATTATCGAATGACCCCGCAGCCCTTCTAGCAGTTGAGTTTCAATCGCCCCAACTTTTGATATCTGCTTCGCTTCTAGCTGAGTTTTTTTCCACACTGCAGCTGATTTTGGTCAGGTTGAAAATGCCGCGGAAAGTTTGGTGTTGAAGAATTTTTCAAAGATTGCTAAAGTGTAGAGTCTTTGATGGTCACTCTTCACAACTAAGGAAAAATAAGCCGCCCTATTCCATGAGCGATTACAGCCCCTATGCATTGTAATCACATCAGGGAATGGGTCAGTTTTTTATCGAAAATGGTAGTATGTTTCATTTTCTAGAAAATTCTAAAAAGGCAGGTTCAAGAAGCTCAGCATGGATTTACCTATAGCAGCCATTTGTGTAAGTTGTTCACTTTTGTCCTACTGTTTTGAAAAAGACAGGTGCTCCACCTACAGACTGGTCTGGGACTGTTTTTCTACTTTTGGCTGCTCATATTCCTCGACGGACTCCTTGCTCGATTGCTCGGTACATCAAAAGGTCATATTCATTATTCGAGAGAGGATCGTGTAAGTATCAAAGAATCATATCCTGAGTGGGCATTCCTGACTCAAAAGTCTTTTTCAGTACAATCCTGATACGATTGACGAGTCCGCTGTGGCCAAACCACGAGCACCTACCGCCAATTCCTTGACGGATTTCACTCAGGAAAGTGTACGAGATGTTAAGTAAACGTGATTCAGCATCATCGCATGTATTTACAGTAAACAATTTGTTGACTTTATCAATAAATATGCGCTTAAGATTTGGAGTTGAATAGCAAAGAGAAAGGGCTACTTTCAGCCGCCTTTTCAAATTGGGTATACCTTTGATAAATCCGCCATTTAACGCTTTGTCTCATAGATTTTTGAAATAAAAAAATTGTTTCTGTAAATGCAGAATGGTGTAAGACCGGTCGTTGACATGAGCTTATGCAGAATTGATTATTGAAAGCTTTTAAAAAAATCCTCTTAGTCCACGAATCGTATTATACAATTATATGCTTTTAACAACTAGGTTCAGCATATAGCCTATAGAATTTTACGAAATGGCTAAAAAGGTTTGGCAAAATTTCACTTTTTTGGCTTCACAAAAGAGGTAAAACTTTTTCCGCTCGTTTATTAACCAACTGGGCCAAGGAGACACAAAAAAAACTCAAAAATCGACTAAAATTTCGAAAATGGGGTTAGTCTTAGCTTACCTTGTTGCAGGAAGTAAAAGTGCTTTCAAGTCCATTTATTAGGTTGAACACTAAGTTTTGCAACCGATTTCATAACTTCACTCTCACTCAACATGGCGCACTCAAACTTTGGCATTATGTAGAATACAATGTGAGCTACAAGTGAGCTGAAATTGTCTAAATTTTAAACACGAAATAGAAAAGTTTCAGGCATTTTTCGAAAACTAGTGAAATTTGAGAATTTTGGGGGTTTCGAGTTAAAATGAAGCCCTTAGCAGCCTAGACCATGCGCAGGAATCCGGATTCGTCTACAAATTATTGCTGGAAGTTGATTCCTTTAGCTTAGTAAGAAAGAAACAAAATTCAGGGCATGCCGAGATTTGGCGTCCTCACAAAATCGAACGAGTCGATGTACGCAAGAGCTGATAAGGACGATCGTCAATGACTAAAGAGTCCAAAGCTCAAATTCCGCCGAGATTTTACATAGTAGGGTTATTTGACCTGCCAAACGCGGATATCATATTCATTTGTTGAATCAACACCTTTTTCCTTGTTTAGGGTGAGACCCCATAACGTACACCTACAGTAATCCTACAAAAAAGCCCTTATCACGCAATTTCTATATCGTTTTCGTGATCAGCATGTCGGATAACATCCTTATGCCAAGTCTCAGCCAAATCCGTCAAACTTTGAATTTTTCCCCTTCATACCATGCACCTACAGTAACCCTCACTGCGACGTCAGAATTTGGTAGGACAGCAGCTGCGCTTGTAGCTTACGTAATAACCAACACAGTGGCAAAACTTGAGTGCGCCATGTTGAGTAAGAGGGAAGTTATGAAACCAGTTGCAAAACTTAGTGTTCAACCTAATATAATGGAAATAATTTCTAATTTAACCCATTCTAAATGGACTTTTTACATGATTCTTTTTTTTGACGAGAGCTCAAGTAGGGTTGAATTATTTTCATTACACGGCTTTTCCTCGTGGTTGCGGTTGGATAAAAAAAATCTTGAATAATGCGAGCGATAGCAGATTCCTTTCCAGTTTCTCTCGCGAACGGATAAAATGGGGTTTGAAGGTTCATTTTCTCCCATTATATAATTTTATATCATGCCTGAACTTTGAAAAATCAGTTTTGCGTATGCACACTCTAAGTGTGTACCTCATAGAACTATATAGGTGCCGAAAATGGTTTCTCGCCATGTAATCTTTGGTTTCAAAACCATAAAATTTTCTAATTATCTCAAACTGCAAAAGCAGTAAGAATTTTTAAAAAACTGACAATGAGAGCTCCACTTGCATGTACACCTCACCAATTACCACACAAAATCATGACTTATAATAAGCGGCTAAGGATGTTTACGTCTTTTTGTCTGTGTGTGTGTCTGTCCGTTACGAAATTCGTAGAGCGTGTTCCAGCCAACGTCCTGAGCCCAAATTTTGCATAGCGCACGCTACCAGCACGAAAGCTCACTGTGCAAAAACATGAGCGGATCCGTTGAGTGGATCCGTTAAAAATTGCGCGTCAAACGGACCCACTTGGCTTCTGGCCAGCAAATTTAGGTCCGTAGTACTTCTTTTTGCAGAGTTATGGATATATTCGACAAGTTGACGTGCAAGCCATAGACGTTAGCCTAAAAAAGTGATGAAAAGTCTACTAATTTACGAAAACAGCGCCAAAAAGCATTGGCTGTGTAAACGGTCAATTTTTCAGGATTTTACCTGATCATTTGAGAAGATTTTAGCACAGAGATGTAGCCCACGATGTTTGCTGTTCTTGTGGTGACTACGAAGCCATAGAAATTCCAGAAACCTATTCAAATTTGCATTTGTTCTTCTGGGAAAGATTTCATCCACGCGAAAATACCGATCTCACACGAAAAACCTCTAGGAATGAGTAGTTGTTGACGAATCATTCGTAATAGCCTAACCAGCGCGGTGAGTTTCAATGTAATTATTATGCGGGAAAGAGTAAGGCATAGATAAAGTAGGGCCAGTGCGAGCCTCTGCCAAGCAGAGGTGACGCACTGGTAAATAAATAAAGGATAAAGGATTCAGCGTCTTCAATACCCTTTGCGGGCGTGCGACGAACGCACACTACTTTATAGTCGAAGAGGCAACTGCATGCGTGCGAGAGTAATACAGTGACTTGCGGGGCCAGCCGTCCTAGATTATTCTGGTACCAATTTACCGGCCCCGGAGGGTAGGGGGCTTGGTTGACAAGGGGGCGGGGATCGAATCTGGTCATAGCGGCGCCTCATACCACCACGCCACTCGTCCCCACAACACAAAATATTTATTTATTTATTGTCTACACGAAAAGTGTGCCAAAAAAACTTGTAAAAAGAACAAAAATTTTTGAAACAAAGATCTTAAAAACACAAACCCCAACACGAGATATGCATAGTAACATTTGCTTTTGATCTTCAGTTCGTCTTCCGTCGGGCTATACGTCGTTCTCTTTCTTAGGAAGGCGAGGGTTCCTTGTCAAGATCCTACGCCCAAACCTAGGCCCGTATGCACGTACATCCCCGCGGGGAGGGGAGGGGATCTGAGAGGGGAAGCGTCATATCTCGCTAGTCTACATATCTTTCTTTTTCTTTCTCTATCTTGCTTATGAAGTTTCTCATACACTGATACCCGCGCATAACGGATGCCAGGTTACTGCCATACAAGATTGGATAATCACTATTTCGTCTGATCCCCTGGAGATCCCCGGGGGATCACCTCACATTTTCAAAGTTATTTATCTTCCTGAAAACTCAATGAAGACGCTGCAAAATGTACTGAAGATATACTACGATACTGCTGAGCATATTTTCGACAGAAGATATGGAATCTGAAGATTTCGATTTTTTCGATAATCCCTGGCTCGCGAGCAGCGGTTCATCGAAGATTTTGATATCTTGAAATTTCACTCACTTCTACCACAAACTTGTTTAGCAGTGCTGTAGTATATCCTCAGTACAATTTTGGAGCACTTTCATTGAGTTTTCAGGAAGATAAATGACTTTGAAAATGTGAGGTGATCCCCTGGGGATCCCCAGGGGATCAGACAAAGTATTGAATATCTAATCTATAATGGTAGTAACCTGGCATCCGTTATGCGCAGGTATCAGTGTATGAAAACCTTCAAAAGCAAGTTAGAGAAAAAAGAAGAAAGACATATAAACTAGCGAGATATAGCGCTTCCCCTCTCAGATCCCTCCCCTCCCCGCGGGGATGTACGTGCATACGGGCCCTAGACGCGAATAAGGCTAATATCTACACGAAGGCGATGTCAACTTTACCCAGGCGTGAATCCACCAGGGACCCTGGGCGTGAAGGAAGGGGGGACCTCAAGGTCAAGGCCTAGACTCGCCAACCTTCGGAATACGCAAACGGCTACTCGTGCGAGAAGACGCGAGCGTATAGTTTGTTGTGCTAAAAAATAGGTACGATCTAGTGACTTAGCAAAACTCTTCAGACTTGTCAAACTTGTCAAACTTGTCTATAGTAGAAGAGGAAATCAAAAGCGTTAAGCATTGTGCTGTATTAGAGCGCTAACTTCAAACGTCAGAGATTGCTAAAAACGACAGAACATTGATTTTGACTAATTTTTTGCGGAATTCTGCGGACGTTCTAGAGGAGGTTATCTCTCTGGGAAGACGCTCAAGTCACCTTGCGGTGCGGTATATGAAAGAATTAAAAGCGAGAGAGAGTTTTTTGTTTCCCAGTCTCCTATATCCCAGACCAAATCCACCCGATCGACTTCCACAAGGTCTAAAAGACCAGTATTTACTGGGCTTCAATCTGATTTCCAATCTGATGATGCGGAAGCAAAAAATTAGGTCGTTACCTATTCGTCTGTACTTCAAGCTCCCTAGCTTCAGTGCGTAAGCCTTACCTCATACGACGGCAAGGACTGGGGATAATCAGCATTAGGGTAACATCTGTAGCACACAATTCTTGTAAAAGTTCTTTGCACTTTTTCAAGTTTTCAATGTTTTTCTTCAAGTGTGGATTCCACACTGGAGAAGCATACTCTAGATGCGGCAAGACGTAAGCTTTATAAAGTCTGACAAGAAGGTTGGGGTCATTGCTATGGGTGCTTCTAAGTATAACAAAAAAACGGATAGAGCTTTTCTGGTAATCGCTTCGTAATGATGTGTGAAACTAAGCTGATCATCAATAAGGATACCTAAATCTTTAGCGTTGCCACAGATTTTCAGGTTAATGCCATCACACTGGTAAGTGCAGGGCCGAGAGTTGCCAACATGCAAGACCTTTGATTTGAGCGCATTGACGGGTATATCCCAGCTTTTAGACCAGAGGATCATTTTAGCTTAGAACTTGAAATTGCTTCGCGCGCCTCCATCCGTTTCTAATCATCATAACAGAAGTATATTTTGATATCGTCTGCAAAAGCTTAGATCCTAATTTCCGGATGAGTTTTTGGAAACAATGGCAGTTCTGCTGTATACGTAAGAAAGAGTAGTGGAGAAAATATACCACCTTGAGGTACACCACTG